TTTAAATTTTAACAAAATGTAATTTCTAATTTAAGTAATACAAACTACCAATCAAATTTTCTTTTAATGTGATATATCACTGATGGGTGTGATTGCATATTATTTGTTACGGGGGTGAAGCTGTTGAGTCAAATCCGCCCATATGTTATACATGTACAACCAAAATTGGGTTAGTTATACTTGACAATATTTTTTAAAAAAATTGTTATTTTTATTGCATACTACTGTATATGAAAAATCATGTGATATGACATCATTTCGATTATTTCAACTTTTGGACTTCCTAAAATCAAAATGTTTTGACTATTTCAACTATTTCAGATAGTCAAAATGATCTATTTTGACTTTATATATAAATATTTTATTACATTTTTTATTGAAGAATCTGCAAAAACAAATGCTAATGCTATTAAAGAATTAAAAAAGATTTTTTAGAATCAAAGTTAGAAATAACAAATTTTTTCTGAAGCTTTATTTAATATAGCATTAAAAAAATTTGAAAAACATAAATTTTCATTCTGCTTACCATTATCCAACATTATTCAATGTTTTAATCCTCAATTTATAGAAATTTTTGAGGAGGGTGATTTGGATTTAAATCAATATTGGCAAAAAAAATAATGAATTCTTCCAAATTTATCAAAAATAGCTTTAATTTATATATGGTAAAAGAATTTTGATGATAGACGCAGATCGCTTTCAGAGAATAGTAATTTTAAAATGCATAATTTTTAATTTTGCATCGCACGAACCACGTGGGCTCTAATCGGGAGCGAGTGATCGGTCATATGATCAGATCGGTATCATAAACATCCCTATTTATAATCAACCACTTTTTTTTTCATCTACTAACTAATACGTTCTTTTCTTCATAATGGTTAAAGTTGAAGAGGTACAAGTACATTTGACATTCATGGAAGTTTTTTCACGTCAACTCTTTTAGACAATTATTTTCTCTTGTTAACTAAGATAACTGAAGACTATGACGACGACCATCAGTCTGAGGATTCAAATTTTACAACCGATGACTCGGACTCTGAAGACGATTTTGAGGATGAAACATGGATTGAGAGGATACGTGCGTTACGTGATATTGTACCTACCGATACACGCGAATCAATAACATATAATATATCGTCTATTATGAGTTTTGGAGTGAGAAGTGCTCGTTTCTTAGGAAATGGCGCTTGGATATTGACCACCTCAGCTTTACTCGTAGTTTTTCCATTATTAATTGAGATAGGCAGAGAAAGCGCGATCAATCAAATGGAAAGTGAACAAATGGTAATTTATATCAGAGTCATTTTCTTATTTATATTTTGTATTTTCTTTTTTCTTTTTTTTTAAGAAAAATTTCAAATATGATGTTATGTTAATAGTTAAATCAAGGTGATCCGTATGGACAACCTGGACAACCCGGACAACCTTTACCACCAGGACAACATCTACAACCAGGTCAGCATCAAGCACAACCTCGAGGAGCTTTAATACCACCAGGATTTTAAATAAAAAAAGGAAAAAAAAAATTTTTTTTTCATGCAAAGTTGTCATTTCATTTTTTTTTTTTTAAAAAAAAAAAAATTTTTTAAAGATTGTCTATTATTGATTTGATAAGTTATGTAACAAATATCATTTTAACATTACTTGAATTAAAATTATGTAAGTTTTATTAGTTTTTATTAAATTAAAATAATCCTCCCTTTCCTCCTTGTTTTTTTGATCTATATAATTAATAATTATTCTAATTAGGAAAACCATGAATTTATTTATCCTGGAGAATAAGTTGGATGGGAAAGGGTAAAAATAAATAAATCGGTCGAGACGTTTATTAATATTTATCAACATAAAAAATTGGTCGTCCGAATGATGATAATATACAAGTTTTTTTTCTTTACTACGCATCGTATCCTGTGCATGGTGCAGTGGAAATTAATACGTAACGATGACATCCAGATATCCTTATTTTAAGCTAGATACAATTGAATTGAAATAAACAAATTTCCTAAAATGAATTGTAAAAATTATTTTTTATTGACCAAAAATTCAATCGAATTCTTCCCTAAAAGAATTCCATATATTATTTTTTTTTTTTATACAATTATACAATTAAGAATTATTATTAGATGTAAGATTTGTAGGATTTGTAGGATTCACAGGATTCGCGGTATTCGCGGTAGAAAGACGATCTATAACGCCTTGAACTCCACCAACTGCATTTCCAATAGCATTTTTCAGGCGCCCTTCTCTTATAGGGGGCTTAATAAAAAACAATTTGACTTGTGTACCATTAAATATACCAAGATAATTTGAAGAAGCTAAATAAATTTGCCCCCATAACAAACTTGAAAACCAAACTACACTAGCTTCGGACCATTGGAATTTACGAATAAGAATAGGTTGTGGTGGAGGAAGGATTCCAACCATTGTTACTTTTCGAAGAAATTCTAAAACAGGTTGATCTGAATTGATGGATCGCGATACGCATATATCTTCAATTTTAGGAACAAGTTCTCCAAGCAAAATTAGAATTGTTCCAAGAGGAAAATGCGAATGCCATGAAGAAACCTTCAAATAAAAATTTAAATTATAAACTGAAAATTTTACAATTGAAAAAAATTTGATTAAATTAAATCATACAAACCCAATCTTCGGTTGGAACAAATCCTGATTTTCCCACGGCAAATGTCGGTACAATATTATTAATACTATTACTTTTTATACTATCATTACTCTTTCGACGACTTGCTGCTGTAACGCCTTCAGGTAGTTTACCACGGGCTTTTTCAGATAATGGCACTAAATCATGATCGGATATTTCTATTTGACTATCTTGGCTAGTAATATCAATGTTTGAAGATGCTTGCAATTCGGGTTTCTCATTAATTTCTCCACGATCTTCATCTTTTTGAGTACTTAAATTACTTTCATTATCTGACATCGACGGTCGTGATAGCTCATCTTGTGAATTCTTAACTTCTGATAGTTCCGATGTTTTTTCCATAGCTGCAATCCGTACCTGTTTTTTACGTTGTTCTTTTGCGGCTTGAATTTTTTTTATATCAATCAAACCCTTTGCAAGTGTAAATTCTGACAAATCCTCAAAACATTTAGGGCTCCGTAAGATTGCATAGATAAGGTGTGGGTTATCTAGAAATAAATAACCAATCAATACATGAAATCAAATATATTAGGCGATTAAATAACAAGTACAAAATTTTTGAAAGAACGGACCCGAAAATTGATATTGAATAATGTTATTGAATGCTTCCAACAGATATTCGACTAATCGATGATTTCCTTCTTCAGCTAACAAAAACGTGGATGAAGTAAACTGTGAAAATAGATGAACTAATTTTGTAGATGAAACGACGGATAAATTCTTCAAGTAGGGCGATACGTTAGTAATAGTTAACACATATGCATGATATAGTGAATGCAACGTCCCACGCGTAGTTGCTATAAGAGCATATATTGACTAAAAATAGAAATTAGATATAACTTAGGAAAATTTCCATATCATTACAACATAATATTGTAAATTCCCTTACACTAATCATATAATCCGCGTAAGTTCCATTAAACGCATGAATACGGACATTAGCAGGAAGAGAGCCGTGATTTTCAAACACTTTATTTAATTTCACGCCAAAATCACGATCACCTGACAATGTCTGCAAAATAAATGCACACATACGCACTAATCCTAGTTGTGCTTTAAGGTATAAGAAATGTATAAATATCGACAAATAAATCGTAGATCGAAAAAAATGAGTCAAAATTAATCATACCTGAATCTTGTTTATTTTCAATTGAATAATATAACAAGACGACAAGCAAATCCAATACTTTATCAGTCTCCAACAAATAATTACGAAACCTCTGATAATGGTAAGTATGAAATGTTAATTCTATATAAAATAATTTTTGAATAATATAATATGTTACCTTGTTGGTTTCAATAAACTTCCAACAAAGCATCATCATTTCTTGATGACATCGAATTTGCTTTGTTGAACCTGGCAAATATGTGTTATTTGCCTAAATTCGAAGAGGCAATTATAAAAAATTTATTAGAATAGTACTTATTATCGTTTCAGAATTTGTAACTTCAAGAATGCGATCATAGAATAAGTAAACCAAGATCATAAATTATTATAAAAGTGAACCCGATATTTGAAAGCGTTGCAGAAAAACTTATAACTTTCACACGATCAATTTGATAAGGACCAACTATTAGAAATAACCATTTCTCCTTTTTTTTTTTTTTTTTTTTTTTTGAAAGGTACCTGCATAGGATTACTCAAAATACGGTAAATGCCATCCATGATAAACTGGAAATCTTGAGCTCGATGCAATTTCGAAGCATAATATCGAAAAGCATTATCGACATGGGAAGGTATTTGTCCCTTCGGTGTATTTGGTGTAGTAACTGTAGAAGTAGCTTCTGCAGGTGATGTATTATCTTGGGTATTGTTGTCTACTCTAGCAGTTTCATTCGTTTCATTAGATGTTAAATTATCAGGTGTTTTTGTAGTAGGACTGGTTATAGATTCCTTCTCACTCTTGACTGTTTCCACAGAACCCGTTCGTTGCCGTTCTCTAGCGGTCGAATCATTTGTTATGATCCGATTTGAAGGAGCACGATAATCCAATAACACCAATAACACTTGTAGACACATTGTCACGAGCATTTCACGTGAGTCTGCAAAAACAACATGATTATATGGTACACCCCATCCAGTAGGATCATATTTGACAGCAGTATTAAGCAAACTACAAAGCAATGCAAGAATGACCTTGAGATCGATTTTAAGAACCAAATATTTTATCCACTTGTTTTCTTTTCCTATATATGTTGCTAAAATTAATCAAATAAACATTAATTTCCTTCATATAAATTAATGTCTAATCCAATTTTTCAAATTATTACCTCCTGACATATACATCGACTTTGAGATTAATACAAGCAATAATCTTAAAGTTTCCGTTTTATTGTAATCATTTTCTTTCGATGAACCAATGGGTATAGTAGAACCTACACCTGTCTCCCTTATAATAGATGAAATAAGATATTTAATGTATGAAAAAATGATTAAAAAGACATAAATTATATATATATATTTTTTACCAGTTGACATATATAATGCGACCGTTATCCTTAGCCAAAGTTGCCGGTAATGTGAATCCCGCCAAAAAGAGGAGGTCAATTATTACCGATAACAGACGTTCTCCTAAAGGAGGAATGGTTTCGAAATTTGTATTTTGAGTTTGTGATCCCTACATAATAAAATTACTTGATTAATCAATAAAATTATTTCCTAAAAGGTAAAAATATATTAATAAATTGAATCGTTCATTTGAAAGTAGTCTAGGCGATCTAAATGAATCCATAAGGTATTGATATTGAATATTCATATGCTTTATATGTTGCAGAATCGGGAACAATATATAATGTCTCTTCCAAATTGAATATAATTCTTAAAATGTTTATACTACCATATAAATATTTCAATTAGATATTTGAATGAAATTCTACCTGGCTTGATTCTTTTGCCAGATTTTCGTTAGTTGCTTCATTTTGCATTTGTGGGAGATCCTGTGGATTTTCGCTCGCATCAGTCTTACGATTTTTCTTGACTTTCTTAAGTTGGGGTGTCCAAAAAAATTTTTCCTCCCAATCACCCATTTCTTCAGATTCAAATATAAATGGTATTAACCGAGTTAAGATCCTTATACAATTCAAAAGATGTAGGGTTGAGTTTTGTAATGATGGGAAGTCTGGAGCTCTCAAGATACGAAGTATACGGTCAATGACCTGAATTTCCAATACTTTTTAATTAATTTATTTACTCTTATAAAAACAGCACAACTTAAATTTTTGTTGAAATCATTAATTAAACAATTTGAACAATTTATCCGGTCACATTAACGCGACAGACCTTATTTATCAATGTCTCTAAATTTTCTCTAGCTTGATCTCTCACACGTCGAATATCCTGCGCGCCCACGAGGGAGAAAACATCGTCTGCTGATTCAGGAAGACGCCAAAACTATAATTTGTAATTAATAATTAGTATCCGTTCAAAACTTTAATAATCAACAAGCATTTTTTACCTGCGACCAGTAGTCGTCGTTGAATGGAATATTCTGAAGAGACAAATAGAAATAAAATATAAGTACACATCGTCAAGCGTTTTCTACTAGAATAGATGTTACTTACCCTTTCTTCAAATAACCTAAACACGCCTTTACGAAAGGCGAGTTTACTTTCAGTTGCTCCCATTAAGAAACTTTTTTACAAACTAAATTGAAAAACAAAGGAATTCGTATCTTTTGATTTCCTGCCACAAGTTGAAAAAACGAGCATTTAAAATTTCTAATATGAATGATATAAACGATAATGATCGGACTATTTTTATACATTGCTCCGTATCACTTGGCCAATCAAAGTGTGAAACGATTTACTATGGGAGGCTATGTAAATTGTGGAACAATGTTTTATTGGTTGACCCGGGAATTTCGAGATCTAAAGCAAGGTCTGTGCCATAGAAAAATGTGAATATATAAGTAGCCACCTGTTTATTGCTAAACGATAATTATTACAAAATGTCTGAAAATAATTTGAGCCCCGAACAGAAATTTGAACTGATTAAAAGGAATCTTCAAGAGGTTTTGGGCGAAGAAGAAATCTTGAAAATTCTTAAGGAGAGAGATTTAAAGCTTTACTGGGGCACGGCTCCTACCGGAAAACCTCATATCGGTTATTTTGTACCTATGTCCAAAATTGCCGACTTTTTATCAGCTGGGGTTGAGGTTCGTTTTTCTCTTCTAAGTCCAAGTTTCGTTTATCACGTTTATTATTATTATTATACAGAGAATCAATAAACTTAATACAAATGTTCTGTTATTCTTTTTTTATTATTATCAATATTATTATTACTAATGACATCTAGGTCACAATTCTTTTAGCTGATATACACGCTTTTCTTGATAATATGAAGGCACCACTTGATCTTGTAAAATTTCGAACGAAATATTACGAAGTGCTTATAAAAAATGTCCTTGAATCAATCGGAGTTCCGATCGACAAATTAAATTTTGTCATAGGATCCAGTTATCAATTAACGGAGAAGTATAATTTGGATAATTACAGACTTTGCGCCACTGTAACAGAACATGACGCAAAAAAAGCTGGTGCTGAAGTTGTTAAACAAGTTGATTCCGCATTATTATCTGGATTATTGTATCCAGGCTTACAAGCGTTGGATGAAGAATACTTGGGAGTAGATGCACAATTTGGAGGAGTTGATCAAAGAAAGATATTTGTCTTTGCAGAAAGATATTTACCACACCTTGGCTATAAGAAACGTTCACATCTTATGAACCCGATGGTTCCAGGTTTGACGGGAACGAAAATGTCATCATCCGATCCAGATTCTAAGATTGATCTTTTGGATGATGCTGCTACTGTATCTCGCAAATTGAAAAAGGCTTTCTGCGAAGAAGGAAATGTGACAGATAACGGTGTACTTGCTTTTGTAAAATTTGTTTTATTTCCCCTCAGATCACATAATGAGAATACCCCTAGTTTTGTAATAAAACGCAATGAAAAATGGGGCGGTAACGTTACTTATACGGATTATCAATCACTGGAAGATGATTTTCGTGATAAGAAGGTTCATCCTGGTGATTTGAAAGCCTCAGTTACGGAATCCATTAATGAATTATTGGAACCAGTTAGGGAAAAATGGAAGAATGATCCCGAACTTCAAAACTTAATCAGTCAAGCTTATCCTGAACCTCAGAAAATAGCAAAGAAGAAAAAAACTAAAAAGCAAAACTTAAACACTTAAAATTATGATAATATCTGGGTAAACATTTAAATTATTATAATAAAACTCATTTATCATTTATCTATTATAAATCACCGATAATTATTATTTAATTCACCAAAAATTCTAAAGATGTGATGCAAAAGATGAAATTTTATTGAAGTAGATCAAAGGAATTATTTAATCTTCATCCATAGGATCTTCTATGATTTCTCTTTGTGTAACAATTCTTGAATTTTGTTGTTTCTTTTGAAAAAAAGAAGATATCTTCTTTTGTTTAATATCATAAGCGGCACTACCTATACCACCTTGCTGTCTAATTAATCCATTAAGATGTTCAAGATAATTATTTCTAATGACTTCAATACGTAAAGGTTCCTGTTGGTAGTCATCACATGGATGAACTCTTATCGTATATATAGAAGTGTTATGTAAAGGAACAAATTGCCATGGTTGTTGCTGATGTAACAATGTTTTATGTGTCAACAAAGCATTTAAAAATTCATTAATAAAAATCGAATGTGACACGATTAATATGTGTGGATATTCTTGTTGACAAGTGATTTGTTGTCGTCTTTGTTGATAATGTGTTAGTAAATCTGATATGAATGACATTGCTCTATTGAATACATCTTGTAATGATTCTGCTCCTTCTCCGGCAAATTTTATTATCCGAGGATCAGGAGGAGTTATGGCATATTTCACAGGTATGTTATATGGTTTATCTTCAAAATTACCGAAATGTTGTTCTCTTAACCGAAAATCTGTACGCAATTCCATTGGATTTGTGACGAAATAAATATTCCGTGAGAGAATTAATTTTGCTGTGGTCATTGTTCTAGTTAAGTCACTTGATATTGCAAATGTAAACTATAATAATAATTATGTGAGAAAAAAGAAAATGGTGAAACCTTTGTTGTTGAATATTATTATTATTACCTTTTCATGTTTCAATGCTTCTCCTGCCTGCTCTGCTTGCTTTTATTGTTAATTAAATCAATTAAATCAATTTGATTATGTTTTATTTTATTTATAGTTTAAAACGAATTGAATTTAATATTATTACCTGTGCCCCAAAATTTGTTAATGGACTATCAGTATGTCCCTGCCAGCGACGTTGTATATTTCCAATACTTTCTCCACTGAAAATTTATTTACAAATCAAATATTATTTCTCCTTCATGATAATCTTATATATTCGTTTGAATATTAACTTACTTACTGCCTAACTATTGTTATTGCAAGCATTTTGTTTAATCGCGTCTTAAAAAAATTATATTTTCGAGATAAATCTTCGCGAGTTAATCACATGACATATCAGCCGGTAACACCGATAAGAGATTTTAGAGAAGATCCGTGAGTGCATATATTCGGATAATTCAGATATCCTTATTCAATCATTATAATAGAATTATATACAGAAATTTAGGAAATAAATTTTATAAGATAATAAAACTCTTTACTAAATTGTCTTAATTAAAAATAACCTTAATTTATGTCAAATCCTGCTTTGTGTTAACTGTGCTTAGCATGTCAACAACTATATTTAGTATTACCAACTTTAGATTTTACTTTTAACTATATTAATCATAATAGAATATTATAAAATTACTTATAAAAGAAAAACTTTTATTATTATAATTTTTATAATTTATTAAGAAATATTAAACTATAGTTTTTATATAATAATGATATTACTAAAATTAATATTTAACATTTTACAAAGAAATTAACACTTTTTTTAAAAAATTTCACAAATATATTTGCCTGTTATACAGTCAAAAGGATAATAAATTTTTTTTATGTTGGGATTTAAAAAAAAAATATTATTATATTTATTATATTAATCAAAATTGCTATTTATTTATTTTATTTATTACATCAAAAGCAAAAAAAAAAAATTTCTAATTTTAAAAATTTAACATTTTAAGTGAGTTGACATTTCTGTAGAACTGTTATTATCGGTTACACAACTATTATCAATAATAATTTGTGGACCAGACCAGATGATCTAATATTCATAATGGAAGGTGGTCCAATTTCGACCATAAGAAACTAATCAAATCAATATACAATATATACAAGTATAAGAAAAAAATGTGTATATCAAAAAAAAAAAGTTCAAATCGTTTAACCTACCCTTTGAGAGCACTTAAAAGGGGGGCATAATTTATAATAACCATGAAGTTTCCTTCCAACATCATAAATAATTCTCCAATTGATTCCTCTCTGATTATCAATTGCATTAAATTCATTTAATTTCTCAATAATTGAATAAAATCGTTTAATTCTTGATTTATATAAAATATAAAAAGTGACAGATGCACTTAAAATTATACTAGTTAATATAGACGCAATGGTAATTGGCCAAATAGTTAATGGTTTGTCGCCACTATCATCTGTTTCTGATGATGAAGTTACATTTATAAATGCTAACGGTAATGTTATTGAAACAACTAAAATTATAAATATGAATGGAAGGAAAAGTATTGCACGATTTATTCGATTTTTAATTACTGTTTTATTTAATTCATTAATTCTTTCATTAAATTCTTCTCTTGTCACCTAGCAAGATAGAAAATACGATCAAATAACCAATTAAATCAATGAAATGGGAAATTTTAAATTGATTACTTACGTGTTCTTGTAATTCTAATGAATATTGAGCATCAATTGTACTATAATCGACAAAGGGATATTTTATACTTTTCATTGACATATCGATTTTCAATTTAAGTAGGTTTTGCCCACAAATCGGCTTCTTTTATAACAAATACATTGTTTTTTAGTGAAATCGTAAAATGTCGTAATTCTTTGCGAAAAATGATATAAATTCTTTTAAGGGAAAGATTAACGTGATCATCACTACTGCTTTTGTAATTTTAAATAAAGTCGAAGTTTGCTTTTGTACTTTAATTCAAAATGGGAAATGTTATTGAAGGATTCAGTGATTGCATTCCAAAAAAAAAGAAAAAAACTCAAGGATATAAACTCGGTACGAGAAATGAAAACAACAATAATAATCCAGTTGAAAACAATGTAAGAAGTGAAAAATTAGAAAAAACAGGAAAAAAAACAAGTGGTGAACACAACAACGGTAAAACTGTAGGAAACGTTGGTGTTAAGACTGGAGGAATACCCTCAAGAGAAGATATGGCTGCTGCTGCTCAAAAAAGACAAGACGATGTAAGTAAGATAAATAGATTTTCAAAAAAAAAAATTGTTTAATTTTAATTAATTTTGTAAATTTTTTTCAAGGCTAAATTAAAAGGAGTAATAAAAGGTGGGGGTAAGTTAAGTAAGAAACTTGAAGAACAACAAAAAAATGCCAATCAACCCGATTCAATTCCTTCGAATTCAAATTTACAAGTAAGTGTAATAATTAAATTAAAGCTTTTTTATAACAAATAATTTATATATTAACTTTGCTATTTATTTTTATAGTGGAGGATCGATTAAAAAGTTTATGTTTGATTAATTATTTAATTTATTATTCTTTTGCATATTATTAGCTTTATTTATTTTTAGTGTAATTATATTTTATGTATCATTGTTCATAATTTCAAATAAAAAAAATGTATGTATTTTTTAAAAAAAAAATCATTTTTCCTCTTTTTTAATAACACCGCCTCTTTCTAAGAAGTCTTTTACATGATTTATAATACTCGATGCAGTTTGCTCAGCATCAACATTTTTACCATAAGCATCAACAAATTCTCCCTCTGGATTCATTAAATAAATAAATATACTATGATCGACTAAATACTCATCACCCGGTTGTAATTGTGGTGGTTGACTATAATAAACTCTATAAGACTTGGCCACTTTAGATATTTGTTCGTGCGAACCTGTTAATCCTACCATTTCCTTATGAAAATCTACGGAGAGTTGAATGTATGTTAGGAAAGAGAAGCCATATATTATATGAGAATAAAGATTTATTCACCTCTAATGTACTCGCGAACTACCTCAACAGTATCTCTGTTTGGATCACAAGATATAAAAATTGGCGTTAGAACATTACCACCAAATTCCTTTTCATTATCTACAAAAAAAAGATCATCAATTATTCTTTTTTTTTTTTGAATAAAGTCAATATAACATTTTCCCTCCCCTAACAGTTAACCGACACAAAGTGTCTTCCTTACTTATGATATCAATGACTTTAGACATTTTATCTAACTCTTCAGGACAAATATCGGGACAATGAGTAAACCCAAAATAAATGAATAAAAATTTTCCAAGAAAATCTTTATCTGTAACCAATTTTCCATCTTGATTTAATAATTCAAACGATCCTCCTATTTTTGGTTTTCCTAATGATTTGTTTTCTAGTTCTCTTTTACCTATTTATTCCGAAGTGAGATTATTATTAATTCGAAAGGAATAATTTAATAGGTCAAAAAGTAATGAATTCATACATACGTCTTTCCAATACCTTTTTTTTTTCACTTTTAAAATAAGTTAATAAACCCAATCCTGTTAAAATAAATATTACTAATCCCTTCCATGAAAAAGGCTATTCAAAATAATAATTATAAATTTAAATTGATTCTCGTTTAATTAAAAAGGTTTCCGATGAAAAATAATTGGTTTTACCCCAACATTACGGTTTTTTATGGTTTCATTAACATTTTTAGGCGGTTTCTGTTGTGGCTTTGAAGTAGTAGTACTATATCTTAAATTACTACAGTAGAAATTTTTATTATTAGGTAAACGATAATTAAAAAATTTAGGTGATTCCCTATTATTAAAAGTATTAATGTTTCTCAAATTCCTTAAACCGTGCTAATGAAATTCAGTTGGTTAATTAAAAGGTTTGAAAAGTAACTAACAAATAAAATGATTTAGGAATTAGGCTCTACCTGGTTTCTATAAACAAAAGTAGCTGTAGGTGACTTTATTATGTTCAAAGAAAATAAATTTCCAATTCTCCTAACCGAAAGTTTACAAATTGAATTCATTATTCGGGGAAAAAAAAATTATTTTTTTTCTGATCTCTATTATGCGATATATTACACACGTGATAATCTTAAAAATAAGTTATCAAAACTGTTATTTTCTGCTGATACTTATTAATTGCTATGGAAAGTTTATTTCGTCACTTTACCCTGTTAACTCCTTTCTTTTATACTCCTTTCTTCATATTATTAAAATACCACAAAAAAAAAACCTTTAAATCCATTATTACTAGTGTTGTAAAACTACTTCTACTTTACAAATACAGTCGACCCCCTCTATAGTCACCTCCTATATAATCACTCCCCTTCTTTAGTCACATTATAGTTCAGTTCCGATT